TCAATTGTTTTAAACCTCCTGAGCTCACTGAACCCCAAGTAGATTCTCGTCAAGCATTTTTTTTTCTACTTAATATTTAAAACTGTGATACTTAAAGTCAAATTTAATCCAGGCATTTTTTATTTCTGGACAAAGAGATCATTGAAAAATTAATTTAACAGAAACATTTGACATGCGAAAAAGCAAAAAAGCTTTTTAAGCAACTTTTCTTACGAACAGGAAGTTATGTCTTTTCAGAGCTTAAAAGTGAGATCCACCACATGTTAATTTTAGTCTGGAAATCCAAAGTTACGATTTGATTTAGATTTCACTCTTTATACCTCATCACCCTGGTTAATGGGCATGGAATGAGGTCACTGAAGGCCTGGTTGAGGAACCCTGGTTTTGGGGAGCCACTGTCTCCCCATTTTTCTGTAAGTGAGAAATGTCTTTTCTGTGGGGCCTTTGCTTTGTTAGTTCACTCTGAAACAGAATGAAGTTTCCTCGAGATGGGCAAATTGAAAACCTCCAAAATCTGGCTTAACAGAGCTCTAAGTTTTAAAGACATCAATCTTGTACTTACTAGGAATAAAAAAAAAAATCATTCTTAAACTGAATTTATTTTCCCTAACAAAGCATCCATGTGACAGCTGGACCATCCCCATTTTATGCATACTTTTGAAAAAAAAATCTTTTTATTGAGGTACAATATACATATATAATTTACTATCTTTAGCATTTCAAGTATACAGTTCAGTGATAATAAGCACGTTTCAGTTCTTTTTTTCCCTTTCACCCCACTTCAGAGTCTCTAGTAACTATGAAACTCCTCTCTATTTTCATGAGATCCACTTTTTTTTCCCCCCCCCCGAGATGGAGTCTCAGAGTCTCACTCTGTCGCCCAGGCTTGCGTGCAGTGGCACAATCTCGGCTCACTGCAACCTCTGCCTCCTGGGTTCAAGTGATTCTCCTGCCTCAGCCTCCTGAGTAGATGAGATTACAGACACCTGCCACTACGCCCAGCTAATTTTTGTATTTTTAGTAGAGACCATGTTGGTTAAACTGACCATGTTGGTCAAACTGGTCTCGAACTCCTGACCTCGTTATCTGCCCACCTCGGCCTCCCAAAGTGTTGGGATTACAGGCATGAGCTACCATGCCCAGCCGAGATCCACTTTTTTAGCTCCCACATATGCATGAGAATATGTAATATGAGTCTTTCTGTGCCTGGCTTATTTCACTTAACATAATGGCCTCCTATTCCATCCACGTTGCTGCAAATGGCAGGATTTCATTCTTTCTTATGGCTAAATAATATTCCATTGTGTATATACCACATATTCTTTATCCATTCATCCATTGTTAGACACTGGGTGGATTCCACATCTTGGCTGTTGGAAATAGTGCTACAATGAACATGGGAGGGCAGGTATGTCTTCAAGACACTGATTTCATTTCCTCTGGATCTATATCTAGTAGTGGGATTCCTGGAGCTTATGGAAATTCTAATTTTAGTTTGTTGAGGAACCTCCATACTGTTCTCCATAGTGACTGCACTAATTTGCATTCCCACCAGCAGTGTAGGAGGGTTCCCCTTTCTCCAATCTGGAGGAGCTCATTTTTGAGACTTAGCGAAAAGTGATAGCATGTACACAAGGGTTGACTAGCATAAATAAGGGCTGAAAATCTCTTATGGGAATTAAAGATTTATCTGAACTTAATTTTAGCTAATGTTTTTACTAGAATTATTTATATATATTTCCTAAAGCTATAAATGTTACAATACATGCTTATATATTCTACAACATATACTATTTATATAACATTTATAATAATACTTGTTAGTAATATGTTACAGTTTTGATCAGATTCTCCATATATTCCTGCTTTAAAACATCCATGGCCTTGAGTCCCTGGGTAGTTGGCATTCAACTATGAGGATGGCAGAGGTTGTACATTCCTGGAGTGGATACACAGCTGTTCTCAGTGCCTCTGTGAAATGATGTTATTTTAGGATGCTAAGGGAAAGTTGAGCCATAAGGCTCTTTGTCAAGGGGAAACCGTATATCACGTGTGGTTCCCAGTGTGTGTTCCTGGAGCACCAGAGACACCATCACCTGAGGACTCGTTAGACGTGCACATTCTCAGGCTTCACCCCAAACCCGCTGAATCAGCAACTCCGAGCCTTCCAGGTGATTCTGATATGGTTAAGCTTGAGCCCCTGCATCAGGGTGGTTGCAGGCATGGGCACAAGAGCCTTGCTGTGGAATGTACCACTGCCCTGTGTCTGTTGTTGGGAACTTGGGCGAGTCACTTACCCTCTCTGTGCCTCAGTTTCCTAATCATGGGGGTAATGATGGTGCCTACCTCTCAGGGTTGGCGTGAGAGTTAAATAAGTTTCCATGTGGAAAGCACTTAGAACAGTGGCAGGCATGTGGTGGTTTAAGTGTTATCTATTTATGATGATGATGATTGTCATTATCGATTTGAACTTTTATTGCTATCATAACTTCTCTGAATATTTATCACATTATCTTATTATTGCTATAGTTACTATTTATCTGCATCTTTCCCACTGTGGGCCACTCTGGCTCCATTCTTGTCTATTATTTGCTCATGTATTTCTTCCAACCGGTCAGTAGCTTTCCGGTCATTTCCAGGTTGATTTCTCTGATGGAACAGTGTGTTCCAGCTTGCTGTGGTGGGTTTTTGGATTGTTCATCCTTTTAAGAGCCTCTGTCTTTGATGGAATTTTTTTCCTCCCTCAAGATGGCAATGGGTACTACCCTTCCATTTCCCATTCTCCTTGCTGCGTCCCCAACACTGGAAGTGTAGTTCTCCATATAGCTAAGTACCTTCTGTTTCATTCTGTTTCAGAGTGTGTTTATTTCCTTTCCTTTAACTTCAGAAAACAAATGCTCACAGCATAAGCACTCAGTGACCTCAGATCGTAAATCTTTTACTGGTTTGAAGTAGGAGAAAGTGATACTGACCTATCCATTCAATAGTTGTAAGAACTTCACTTAGGTAGATATCACCATTCAAAGAATTGCAACCCCAACCCACAAACTGAAACGATATAACAAAAACTGCAGAAATAAACATTACTTCCAGAAATTAAAGAAAACAGATAATGGTTTATGTGAAATATTGCTTAGCTGGGAGGATTAACCCTTTTCCCATTTGCCTTGAGAATGCTCACTGGCATTGCTTGAGGCTGCAGCATTTACCTGGAGATGATTTTGCTACACAGTATATCTCTTTTATTATTATTTTCATGTCACTCTAGTATATCAAATTTGGAAACAAAAGACATCATTTTCTTTATAACATTCTGTTTTTAGTAGTGGTATTTTTATTCACCAAATATAGTAATTCTCGATTGCTGAAAATGTCAAATCCTGGAAAACACAGCATTCCTATACATGATGTTAACATCGGTCTTCAACAGTTGTTGGCCAAAGATTCATTTGATGAATCCAATTTTTCTGAAATAGTAGATTCCGATGATTCAGATGATTCTGATGTTAGTTCTGTTTAGAAATAACTCCAAGAATGATTTTTATGTTTTATTTTCACATTGAAAATCAATCAGATTTGCTTCAGCCTGGAAAAGCATGTTTATGTAAAGTTAAATGAGCACTGGTGGCAAGTTGCGCTTTTTTTTTTTTTTTAATGGGAAAAAGGTTAAGATAGGGGAAATTAGAAGAAAATATTCTTCTCTCATTCTTTATGTTTTTATCTTTTGGGAAACTGTTACTGTTGCTTACCATGTTAGAAGTTAAGCCAGGTCTATTGAAGAATCACTAAGGGAAAATAACCTAAGGCAGTAACATAAAATTATATGAAATAAGAGTATGTATCAACAATGGTTTAAACTTCATGAAAGAAGTCTGCTGAGGAATAAAATTCTGTAAATTAAGAGCCTATGAGAAAGTGCAATCCCTAAAGCCTATGGGTAAGATTGATGGGCACAAGGAAGATTCTGGGTCTTCATAGAGCACTGACAAAGAGGTCCATTGCCAAACATGCTGTGGCCACACTGGCAGGATCCAGCCTGTAAGAAGCTGCACAGGTTAATCTGGAATACTTCAACTATAAGAGAGTAATAACTGTAAGTAATTGGTGGATCAGAAGAAACGTAGGAAGTATAAGTGTGCCTATGTGTGTGTGAGGCATACAAACATATGGGTGGAGACAGATGGATGACAGATAGATAGCTAGAGATGATAGATAATTGATAGGTAATAGATCAATAATTGATAGATGATAGATAATAGGTAGGTAGATATTTAGACCAGTAATAAATAGATAATAAATTGATAGGTGATAGATAATAGATGATAGATTGGATAGATAATAGATAGATAATAGATTGATAGAAGATAGATAAAGGCAGATAGCTTAGGAAGAATTATTTTCAAAAAGTAGATGCAAAAGAACCTCTTGAATTTAGAGGAGATTACATGAAACTGTGAATGTTTAAGGGGATTTTGTGGTGGACTGACAGGAACCCTGGGCTAGCTTCCAAAGACTTTGGACCTCGTTCTTTCTGCCAGGACCCAGCTGTGTCAAGTGGGATGGTTCTGACAATCTTTTCCACTCTAATGTCCTATGACTCAACAGTAGCAATGCATTTCCACAGGCGGTAAAAATATTCTAGACTCTTCCCTTCCAGCGCTCACTGTTTACTTCCTCTGCATTTCCCCTTCCTGCCTCCCCTGTGCTGGTCAGTTCATAGCGGGCCTCAATGAGGGTGGGTTAACCCTCTCTTTCCAGGGTGTTTTGCTACGGAGCTCCCTCCAGGGGCTGGGAACTGTGTGGTGAGGGCTGTGGTTGGGGTTCAGCTTCCTTCTTAAATCGTTCCTTGAGCCTTTACCCTATTCTGTGCAACTGCGCCAGATTTCCAGGGATTAGAAGGTAAATGCCACGGCGTAACTCTTAGAAAATCATCGGGGCTCAGTCTTACTGGGGTGCACTTGGTAACCACCTATGAACCCATGTGTCCCTCTTTCTTTCAGGCAGTAGCAGAATCCCATGGTAGCCAGGTGGGTGAAGGGGAGCGCGGACGTTCTACCTGCCTTGAAGAAGACACCTGACCTGCGGAGTGAGTGACCAGGTAGTAGAGGGTTCTGAAGGCATCACACACTTGAGGGAGGGAGGAGGACAGAGAGGGCTATGGCACCCTTTGACTGCTGACTGCCAGCTGCTGTCTTTCCCACTGAGAAATGCTGCCCCCAACACACCCAGAAGCTCTAGGTCTTGTCCTGTGATTTCTGTCCACCAAGCCTTGAGAGGAGGTATGATAGATGCCATTAAGTCCAGCACTAGATACAAAGGACTGCAGCAAAAGTGCTCTCAGCAGAAAGAGGAAACAGGTCCAGTTCATCCCAAGCCTGGCTTGCTGCCCCTTTGAAAGAGAGTTTAAAACAGAAGCTTCATGGTGCTGCCTTCATAAAAACAGAGCCAAGCTTTCCAGAATCTGGCAGAGGGTTGAGTGCCCGCAGGACACTTGTGTATCACTCACACTGGAAAACTTAAGCCTCTGTTTTTATTTCAGTGGATTGAATGGCATGCAGTTTCCTCAGCAGTTTAAAAAAAAATGCATGCAGTCACTTGCAGACAGGCTGCATTTGTCTCTGCTGGTGCTCACGTTACAAGCTTGTCTGTGCATTTGGGCATGCCAGCATAGTGTTTCATTTCCAACCTTTACTGTGGTCACTTTCCTCTTTGTTGTACTGAGAAGTGTTGCTGAGGGTATACTAAGGCCCTAGTTTATCAATTATATCCTGTACTTTTCTTCTAACTTGATCCCAAGAACAGTGGGATTTGCTTCCAGGTAAACAAATTTTGAATAATTTATGGCCCTTCTTTGCAACAAAAATGAAAACGTGACTTTCTAAGGAAAAATCAATTTCAAAGGGGCATTTAGTAAATAACACAGTCTTAATAATGTAACAGGAAAATTAAAATGCCCAGCAGACCTTTTGCATCCTGAACAGGTGTTTGCTGCTAATGGATACAGTTTCCATTTCCTTGAAGGGATTTGCCCAGAGGATTACTTTCAAAATGTCTATTGAGATAATACTGCTCTAACAGAAAGAGCATTGCATGAATCTGTATATCAGTTCCTTAATAAAAGGGAAGTTTTTTAAATTCTTAAAATACCAATGAGGTGAAGAAAAACATGCCGCCCAGGTAAAGTTACTCTGTCATCACCCACATTATCTTTTTCAAGGAATGTGGGGGAAATGTATGTCAGTCACCAGGCAGGTACTATAAGACGCTAGAGGCCTCCCAGACAGCTTGTTTCCGGCTGTTAACATGGAGCAGAGCGTTCCCTGGGGCTGAGCATGGAAGCCCAGCACTTCTTATAGGTATGTCTTTCCTACTACAATGTTAGATGCCTACATTTACTGACTTTTTCATTTGCTCTTTAAAATAGATTTCTCCTGCTTGTTCTGCTTAGTTCTACGGAGTAAGGTAGAATTTTGGTGCCATATCTAAATATCATGTCTAAAATGACATTGGAAGCACTTTTCCAAGAATAACCAGCATATTGATCAAGTCATTAATAAAGCCTAATTATTTGCTATAAGAATGTTTTAGGTTGTTTCATAACTGAGTTTTTTCCAAAGTCATAACAAAACTAGGAGCGGTTGTAGATTCTTAATTATTCATTAGATTAGGGGGAAAATGAATTGCTATTACAAAGAATATCACGCAAAAAATAGGTTTTAAAAAATGCATTACTACTAACTGAGTTTTAAAAACATATACTAATATTCTCCATATCAAGAACTGTTTCATGGGTGATAGATTTTAGTTATAGCAGTACTGGACTAACACTCAGTCAATAATTTTAAATTTTCTATAATTGAGAATACATAGTAGCGGAATATAAGTAAACATATTACTCTGTGAGATATATGCATAAGAGTTTGTTATCACAAAAAACAGCATAACATTATTTTTTTGAAATACGAGGCTCTGTTTTAACACTTTACCTTATTTAATAGTAACAAAATCCCTGAGGAATAGGTTGTATTGCCATTTAAAACATTGGAGAGTGGAGGTCCAGAGAGGTTAAGTAGCTTTCTCCAGGTCACACAGCTGATGAATTGCAGGGTCAGCATTTAACTCCGGTTTGCCTTTCTGCAAAGTCTCTGCTCCTCACTCTACCCTACTGACCACCTAAGTACAGATCAGTTAGTCTTGCCTTCAGAATTCTCCTTTCTTGTATACTTCCATGTACATTCACACTTACTTCACATGATGATCCTGTTTTCTGGAAGTTCCACCATATAGGGTGATAATGAAACGTCCTTGTCATTTCTCTAAGTATTTCCAGAGCCTGGCCATGGATGCCATTCACATCAGCATGTCCAGCACCCCCCTGGTGAAGCACACTGCTGGGGCTGGGCTCAAGGCCAACAGACCCCGCGTCATGTCCAAGAGTGGGCACAGCAACGTGAGAATTGACAAAGTGGATGGCATATACCTACTCTACCTGCAAGACCTGTGGACCACAGTTATCGACATGAAGTGGAGATACAAACTCACCCTGTTCGCCGCCACTTTTGTGATGACCTGGTTCCTTTTTGGAGTCATCTACTACGCCATCGCGTTTATTCACGGGGACTTAGAACCTGGTGAGCCTATTTCAAATCATACCCCCTGCATCATGAAAGTGGACTCTCTCACTGGGGCATTTCTCTTTTCCCTGGAATCCCAGACAACCATTGGCTATGGAGTCCGTTCCATCACAGAGGAATGTCCTCATGCCATCTTCCTGTTGGTTGCTCAGTTGGTCATCACGACCTTGATTGAGATCTTCATCACCGGAACCTTCCTGGCCAAAATTGCAAGACCCAAAAAGCGGGCTGAGACCATCAAGTTCAGTCACTGTGCAGTCATCACCAAGCAGAATGGGAAGCTGTGCTTGGTGATTCAGGTAGCCAACATGAGGAAGAGCCTCTTGATTCAGTGCCAGCTCTCTGGCAAGCTCCTGCAGACCCATGTCACCAAGGAGGGGGAGCGGATTCTGCTCAACCAAGCCACTGTCAAATTCCACGTGGACTCCTCCTCTGAGAGCCCCTTCCTCATTCTGCCCATGACCTTCTACCATGTGCTGGATGAGACGAGCCCCCTGAGAGACCTCACACCCCAAAACCTAAAGGAGAAGGAGTTTGAGCTTGTGGTCCTCCTCAATGCCACTGTGGAATCCACCAGCGCTGTCTGCCAGAGCCGAACATCTTATATCCCAGAGGAAATCTACTGGGGTTTTGAGTTTGTGCCTGTGGTATCTCTCTCCAAAAATGGAAAATATGTGGCTGATTTCAGTCAGTTTGAACAGATTCGGAAGAGCCCAGATTGCACCTTTTACTGTGCAGATTCTGAGAAACAGAAACTTGAGGAGAAGTACAGGCAGGAGGATCAGAGGGAAAGAGAACTGAGGACACTTTTATTACAACAGAGCAATGTCTGATCATAGGAGTGCCATCCAGGTTTAACCCTGCAAGCTGATTCCACATCAGAACTCCCATCAAACACAAAGATTGCTGTGAAAACGAAAATGTGTAGATGCACTCTCAAAAACTGCACGGACATACAAAATCAATCTTTCCCTTTGATCTTGTGGCTAAACCAGCATTTCTGTGTTTGAGAGATTTCCTTTTAAGTGCTTCGAATGAAAGTGAACTCTCATAATTCAAATTATATAAAATAAAGCTACATTTCTAAGAGCTTGGTGTAGGGCAATTGGAATAGTGTCCTGTTAGATAAACAGACATTTAGCAATACTGACATTAAAAGGAAATGTATTTCTGTACAAGATTATTAGCTCTAATATAAGATATTTATTTAACCAATAACCTTATGGCCGAGAGTTGATTTGTGGTTCAGTATTCATTGATCTCACTGCTTTAAAACATGCTGTTTTTGTTCAAGCAGGAAAAATATTATATCTAATGATGTCTATTTGGTAATACCTGAAAAGACGTAGAGCGACTCTCTATTCACAAAATATAGTAATTTCATTTTTACCTTTCTTCAGTGGACTGAATTGTATGGAAGGAAATCGATCAGATCTGTCATTCACAACTGTGGAAACCTACACAAATGGGGCTGATGCCATTGTTTCCTCTATTTTTTAATTTTATTTTTATGTTTTGGAATTTACTATCCTCTTTCCATTCAAAATGTTTCCATTCAAAATGTGGTTCACAGACCCACCGCATCAGCACCATCTGAGCGCTTATTCATAACGTGTAGATTCTCAGGCCCCAGCCAGACTTACAGAATTGGGGTGTCTGTATCTTAACAAGAACCCCAGATGATTTGTATACAGATAAAAGTTTGAAAGCTCTGCTCTGGACAATGTTTTCGAAGCAACTTTCTGAAGCCATGTGGAAAACTGACTCTGTGGGTCCCGTATCCCCATGGCATTCAGACCTGGCCCCTCTCCATTTCATTATTATTGGCCAATATTTCTTTCAGCCATTTCATTATTATTGGCCAATATTTCTTTCAGTCATTTCATTTCTTGTCTATTAAAATGCCTTGCCCATAAAGGAACTGCATAGAATTATCCCCTGACATTCCAAGAGCAAAATAAAGCTCTTGAGAGTAATTGCTGTCTCAGTCATGCTTGCTGATTACAGTTAGCACAAAAGAAAAATTCAGCTGCCTGACAATACAGGAAATGTTCTCAGATGCTGAAGTTTGTAAGGTCCGGTGGGGCCATGAGGAAGAAGAGGAGCTGAAGGTAAGGAACTCATAAACAAGATGACTCTCTGACGCATGAACAAGATTTGAAAATCTCAAACCTGTAAAGAATACCCCCGCTATTTAAATAAGGCTCATACCAAGAGGTAACATTTTGCCCCGGGCAAAATTCAGGGGTCGAGTGCCCTGCATTCCTTTGAGGCAAAAAATAACTGGTCTATGACTGGTTAAATGTCCAAAAGGTGAATTCTCATTTCATTCACAGATTTGCACATTCACTCAAGCAGAATGTGGCCATGAATATTCAGTCCCTGCATACGTACAAAGATGTACACATGATTCCCGCCACCACACACACATACACTCACACACACGTACACACACACACACAGGCCCTGGCTCTTCAAGCATAATCATGATAGTCATCAGTGAAAGATATTTGCGATTAAGACAGCAAGTCCTTGACAAATATATTCATGTCTATTTGGTTCTATAAAAATATGAACATTGAGACTCAGAGAAAATGGGGAAAATAAAGTGGATTCAGATAATCAGTGAAATGATGGTATAGATTACAGTAGATCTACTATATATTGATGTTACTGCATTTGCAAATGTCCTCCCATTAAACAGAAAATGTGGCGAAAACCCCTGGCCTGGAACTGAACTAGTTTAAGGTGTGTGTAAGGATAATGGGAGTCAAGTTTGTGAAAGTTTAAAGAACAATCTCAATCCACGAACAAGAGGGAGGATGTTGTCTTTAATTATTTAGAAGGTTTTTTTTTCCTTGTCTGTTGATAAGTTTATGGAAGGTTGCTTTAGATCTCCATTCCTTAAAAAATATTACATGGCAGTGTAGTTAGATATTATCTCTTTTAGTTATTATACTTGCTATTTTTACTGTATACTGTGGTATAATCAACAAAAAATAATTCCATGGGCATGTTTACACCTTTTCTGTTGCACTATTAAATTCTTTTCACAGTATTTATATCAATGCTAATTTAAATGTGATGCTGATTAAAAATCTTACTCATTTATATTGTATCTGGTACAAGGACATAGCATAAGATTCAGAAAAATTTTTGTATTGTCATTTAGCGTATCAATTTCAGCCAAATTTGGAAGACTTGATCATCTTACCTTTTGCTCTACACACTCAAAACAAATATTGGAGTAGAAATATCACCTTAAAATATATCTTAATTTACATTTAGATAATATTGAAATCACATTCTATTAAAATTGGAAATTTAATTCAAATAAAAATCAAACAAAATAGTTGTTTCAATTTATCTAAATATATGGTCTTAAAAGTGCCTTAAGAGTGTCTGGTTTATGGCCGGGCGCGGTGGCTCACCCCTGTAATCCCAGCACTTTGGGAGGCCGAGGTGGGCGGATCATGAGGTCAGGAGATGGAGACCATCCTGGCTAATACGGTGGAACCCCGTCTCTACTAAAAATACAAAAACTTGGCCGGTCGTGGTGGCGGCGCCTGTAGTCCCAGCTACTCGGGAGGCTGAGGCAGGAGAATGGCGGGAACCCGGGAGGCGGAGCTTGCAGTGAGCCCAGATCTCGCCACTGCACTCCAGCCCGGGAGACAGAGCAAGACTCCGTCTCAAAAAAACAAGAGTGTCTGGTTTTTAAGAGTGTCTTAAAAACCAATATATGTATAAGTCAACAAATCATATAATATTCAATAAATAGCGCTGAAGTCGTATCTGGTTTGAAACTTACCATTTTCCTCGAGCCTTACCTATTATTACTTTGTACATAATACTTTCATGTTACTATGCTAACAAAGGATTTAGGTAGCAAACTGAATTTATTATATCTGGTCAGTCTTCTGCTTAAAACAGATTCACACTCAACACCCAGCTAAGGAGGAGCCAAAGTAGTGGAGTATTCCTGACCCAAAAAGGCATTTGAATTTTGAAACATTTCTAACGTGTTAGGTTTTCTCAATGAGTCCATTAAAAAACGTTGTGTTCCATTTGAGAAACCACAGAGTCAACAGCAGTAAATCAGTGTGCCCCACAAGCCGTGTCTTATTCAGCAATAAAATAGACGGTGCTCACATGGTGCCTGGCAGACAGTGGCTCTGGACAGCAAAACACTGAGTCACCCAACCCTACTCCTTTGGGATGGGGTGGGGAGTCATGCATTGGCTCCCTTTTCCATCCTGGGGAAATTACAACACAAAGCAGAGTGTCTAGAAATCTAAAGAGCTGGTTTAAGGTGAAAAAAATGCCATGAATTAATGAACCAGATATTTAATAAATCAAAACAACTGTTTTGTTGGATTTTTATTTGCATTAAATTTCCCAATTTTTAATAGACTGTGATTTCAATATTATCGAAATGTAAATGAAGATATATTTTTAAGGTGGCATTTCTACTCCAGCATGAAAAAATAGTGTCACTCACACTCTAGTATTATTCTGTCTCCTTTATTTGAGTCTTCAATATATATACCCCAGCTGGAGGGAGAAGAAGAGAAGAGAAAAATGAAAGCACTGGGGCCTTTGACGAGGTTTGGTTCTGTATGCTCTCAGGATGTTCAGAAGGTCAGACATTTGACCACACGGCACAGTGAAGACTCAGGCTCTCAATTTGGGCTTTCCTTCTTGCTAGAGTTTTCTTCGCCTATTAAATTTCTGAAATAACTAGTTTTATCATAGCTTTCCATGATGCAATTTTTTTTAAGTGAAAGGTACTAGCATTTCCAGTGGTGATTTCCAGGTTCTGTGGCGTGCACTCGAAGTCTAGTCTCTGACTGTTAAACTCTGGCTAGGTACAAGATGATCTTAATTTTCTTCCTCTGGGGAAGACTTACTTACATTTGAAGCTCAAAAGCTTAACATTCACTTTTAAATGATTAACTTCATACACTTTACCCTTTGTGAATTTCAATTTATTTTTTTGTTTTTCTTTTTTCCTTTTTTTTTTTTTTTGAGACGGGGTCTCGCTCTGTTGCCCAGGCTGGAGTGCAGTGGCGCAATCTCGGCTCACTGCAAGCTCTGCCTCCCCGGTTCACGCCATTCTCCACCTCTGCCTCCCGAGTAGCTGAGACTACAGGCGCCCACCACCATGCCCGGCTAAGTTTGTTTTTGTATTTTTAGTAGAAACGGGGTTTCACCGTGTTAACGAGGATGTCTCGATTTCCTCACCTCGTGACCTGCCCGCCTCGGCCTCCCAAAGTGTTGGGATTACAGGCGTGAGCCACCGCGTCCGGCCGAACTTCAATTTATCTTTAATCAAAGTGACTTCCAGTCAATCCCCGGACCTGCGGACAGCAATGAGTGGTTTTCTACTCTCAAAACCAGTGTGACTTCTGAGTAGTAGTAGACGCTCCAGAGTTGGAATTTGCAATAAAATTGCGTGATTAGAAATTAATTGGGATTTTAAAGAATAAGGAGTTATTTGCCTTCTTAAGCTACTAGTACTTGTCAGTAAACTCTATTCTAATTGGTTTTGTTTTGTTTTGTTTTGTTTTGGAAAGGACAAAGCCTTTGTCTTCAGAGCAAGAAGAGGAATTTGTGGACATTCAGATAGCCACATATTGAGGGCAGGAACTTTTTACTTTTCAACTGGTATGTTGACAGTGTGTAAAAATAGAAGACCAAGAGAAGGCAGTTGATTGGAGTTGATAGTTAATAGCTAGTAAAAATTACAAGAATGGATGATGGAAGTCAAAGGACAGAACTGATACATGAGTATAAAAGCCAAGGATGTCATGTATGTAGGTCAAGGCTTTGTAATCTGAATATAATGCCCGCGAGCTAGGACTGCCAGGCACTCTGTATGTGCAGAATATGTCCTATATGGAGTAATTTTTGATTTGTGTGGACTTTTGAAGATTTCCTTAAATGTCTTATATGCAACCTTTTTTCCCCTGTATATTACAAAATTGCCTTGGAAATTAGACAAATCTTCAAACTTAACTGAAACTCCTGTCCTGAATAGTTATTTGCCAAATCTGACAAACTTATAAAGAGTGTTCGCATAATCCCAAACTATGCCCACTTCCAGAAGAGAAATACATGCTTCTTTATTTGGAGTTTATGATATTCATACAACTAGTAGTAGAGTCAGGGAGTATTCCAGAAACGTATTTCCCTGGCTTGCCCAATTATCAAGGGAAAATTTCAGCTGAACACAGGGAACCCAGTCAACGCAGTCTTTGACACTCCTGTGTGCAGTGTGGAGCAGCGTGCACTGTCTGAGCCTCCATAGTGAGGAATGGTCTTCCCTGGGGCTTCACCCTAGAAGGATGGGCTCAAAGTCGCCCTCCACGTGGGTGCACAGGAGCCCAGATTCTCAAGCCCCAGTTGCAGAATTAGGCTGATGGTTTTACAAAAGAGTCCTCCTAAAAGTCCATCATCAAGTTTTGTTTGGTTAGCAATGCTTGCCACATGATGTAGTACTTAGCTATAATTTTATCTTTATTCAAGGCCAAATCTTACCTAGTGTCCATGCCCTCCTACCTACTTAAAATTTCTAATTTCACCCTCAAAAATATTTAAGTAAATAAAAATTAGATCTACTCAAAATTAGACTCCAAGGGAATTGCTATCGTTGATTATAGAGTATCTATTTCCTTAAAACAAAAAATCAGAAGTTGTTGACTCTGAGCTAGGAAATGCGTGATCTCTCAGCTGACTGTTACTTTATGCAAATTTACTTAATATTATCGAAAAGTAAAGAGCTTCCAAGAAGGCGATTGGAGGGAAGTTCAAAGGAAAGATTTTTTTCATTCGCTGTAGTTTTAGCTGTATTCTTTCATCTGCAATCAAATCTCAGGATTAAGGATGTCGTATTAAATCAAATCATTACAGGAAGTATGACTGTATCAGCAGCTTTTTACACAAACAAACCTCCAGATCACAAAAGGAAGCCGTGTTTGTGTGCTGACGCGAAGTGTTACATAGCAGCCAGGAGAGGAAGGATAGCAGCCGACTTGGATTCATTTTTGAGGAATGATTTCTGTAAGGTGTCATGGAATAGTAAGTTACAGAAAGGAGGCTTTTGTAAACAGAATCTCCATTCCAGAAAGACGGACTCCAAAATACTACTTAATGAAATTCATGGGAACGTTATGGTAATGGAAATCCCAAATGACGTGTAGATTTTATATGCAAACAAACCCACTACTTGTAACTCCCGGTAGTGTCTACTTACCAAAATCTTGATCACACTTCGGTCTCTTCCTATATATAGAACCACATCTGATCCTTATACAGTGTTGCAATATTTATATCCTTGCTTTCCCATGGTTCTTAAGTGAGTCTTAAGCTTGGATTTGCTCCAGCAGAATGGTGGTTCGTGTTTCTCAAGGCTGAGCTACTATTTGGTGCATGTCGGAAATCTCACACTAACTGTGGATACTCTGTCATCACTGAACCCAATCATACAATGACCAGACAGCTTTAAATACCTACTTTTGTATGCTATGAATTCATCCCTTTATTTGTCAAATCCTTTATTTCCATATGTGGCTCTGTCACCTTTTTTTTCTCTTCCAATAAATGGAATTACTGTAACTTGAGAAACAATGGCAAACACTATAAAGCTAATTTTACAGTCTTGGGTTTCTTTTTGTTTCACTGGAATGGTAATGGTGTTATAGTGGTGCTGTGACAGACAAAAATCTAATATGTCCTTAGAAAGTTCAGAGGTGGACTTACTTGAAATAACCTTTTCCAGTGATGGCAATCACAATAATGTGGGATGAATGGGCCCTAAAAACTTATCAAGGTGTTACTATATATCAGTACCTAAAGAAATGTATTTTGCTTCTTTCCAATCACTGAATAGAAAAAGAAATCCCTGCCTCATTGCTCCTTTTTTTTTTTTTTTTTTTTGAGACAGTCTCACTCCATCACTCAGGTTGGAGAGCAGTGGCTCACTGCAATCTCCTCTTCTAGGATTCAAGTGATTCTCCTGCCTCAGCCTCCCAAGTAGCTGGAATTACAGGTGTGTGCCACCATGCCTGGCTAATTTTTTTATTTTTAGTAGACATAGGGTTTTACCATGTTGGCCAAGTGGGTCTCAAACTCCTGACCTCAAGTGATCCGCCCACCTTAGCCTCCTGAGTAGCTGTGATTACAGGCATGAGCCAGTGAGTGCAACCTCATCTCTCTTTTTTTGCCTAATGCTCTCCTGCTCCAGAATGATTATCTCATTTTAGTCAATGATTAAAAATCAAGCAACCATTTAATAACAAACATCCTTTCAGCACTGCAACCCTTACCAAAGTGCCTTTTGTGCTATTGCTCC